TACCTTTCGTTTATCACGATAAACATCATCTATTAACCACACGTTGGGGCTACAAAGACCGCAGAATATTACTAGTTATGTAGATAGTTTAAGGGTGTTTGAATGCGTACTTCAGATTTATTTAAATAGACGCTTTCGTATTCCCGGTGACAATGTCTCGTCTCAGCTATTTACAACTCTATGCGTATGCAAATTAGGGCTTCTATGATGGGGGCAAATTTCAGAAGTGACAAGTGACAGAAAGTTCCTAAGTAACGAAAGATCAAACTTCAACGTTTTTGTCGCGGCAGCTTTCTTGAAGATACAGGAAAAGCCTCAAAACGATTGGATCTGTAATGGCACATTGTTGAGTAAGCTATGTTTTGTCTTAGCTTTTCCCGATTGCAGCCTCCTACAGCTGCTGTTACCCTATGAGATTCGTTTCATCAATTCAATTTCCTTAGATAGATTAGGCATATATTTAATAATAGCTTCGATTTTAGTGACTTGTATTATTCGCTGCTGCTTGAAGTTTAATTTTTTTGGTCGGAGATGTCTGTTAAGCCCCATACGGGAACCGTGAGCGTCTGAATTTTGATTCCTACGAACATACAAAACGTTCTTAATTCACAATGATCATATAGGGTAATCGAATTTTACATAAAAGTCTGTATTGTAAAGCCTCTTTGTTTATCCTAACAAAACCTTTTTTTTTACCGAAAATACCGCCCGCGATCGTTTTGTGTGAACCACTCACATGTTCCTTCTAGCCTATCTTCGGCGAATGTCCCAATCACATATACTCGTTGCTGGACATGGCAGCACATGTGTATGCAGAAATGTAAATTGCGTTTATGCATACATGTGAAGTTATTTACGCTAGAACACTCTTTGGGTTGGGTACGCGGTGACAATTAGATCGCTTCACTCTAACAACAGATATTTTGCCACACAATCCAAGCGATAATAAGGGATCAATGGCGATTGTACGTGTCCTCTTTTTTATTTGTGTAAAAACTATCCTGTTTGTTATTTAAGTAACTTGCACTTGGTCAACTGACATAGGTACGGTGTGATTGTTTATATAATAACGTAGTGTATTACAAGTATTGAATATTGAAATGGTTTGAATATATCTCTCTATGATTTCATCAGACGTGGATCAACATATTGGTACATATTGTTTCAATATAATTTTATACCACCATCAAAATTGTTCAAAAACCGATTCATATTCGCTGTGGGTAAGAGACCCTGGACCACGTCGTATCAGTGCTTATCTCCGCTAAACCATGCAGCTTTGACCTAATACTTTCCGCTAAATAAATAAAAAAAAAACTCCAAAGTGGCCTACTTTCTCAAGCAGGTATCTTATTCTGTAGTGGGGCCTCTGCACAACGATTCTTTTATAACCCCAGAATGAGCTGCAGCCTCGTGAGGCGAGCAGACGTGTCTAAGACGTATCTAAGATGATGGGTTTCTGAAAGAAGGTTTGAATATGTAGATTTCGTCCGTTTTCTAGTACAATGTAGATAGTTTACTCAGTCACTTAGTGTATACAGCACCTATGAATTTTCGTCAGATTATACGCTTGCGGCCCTAGCCGTCGACCTAAATCTTGAAGCGTTTGAATATAACGTTTTATCTATTGATCTGCCGCGCCAGACGAACCCTGGATGTTCTTTAGCCTTGAAGCTAAATGCTGCCCGTAAATATAACCAATTATAACGCTTTTTCAGGATATGCAATTTCGATCGTAGCCAGATTGTCCCGACAGTCCTGCTGTATCTGCGCAGCTCATGGTTGAAGAACGTCTGGCTACGCGCTCTGCATGAAAAACGTTCCCCGCACCTGTGCAATTTTATGGTTACAAAAACAACTTATTACTTACTGTTTATTTTGCAGATTTTCCGTCGTGCACGTATAGCACCAGGAAACAGTTGATTATACAATTGGTGTCGCTACGTTGCCTAAATTGATTTTGTTTTCTTGAAACCCACTCTCGCCTGATCATACCTAAATTTACATCGAATTATCGAAAGATTTCGCGGCCCCATCGCAGGCGAAGTTAATGCTTGCCCTTTTTATGACGTATCCGAGTTGGCAATGGAGTGAACCTGTCAGCCAAAAACTATTCGTTTACTTAATAACGCAGTACTAAAACGTAACGAGACAACGGTTTAATGGGTCTGTGCTATCCGCACACTATAGGGGTACTATGGACAGTTGCTCTAAGCCATTAGGTGACATAATTCTTTCGCGCATAATTAGATAAACGCGTGACTAGAAACAACGGCATTGGAGACAAAATTCAATTTACCAACTAACACGATTCAGCAAGTGGCCATAACAATTTTATATGGATCATCATTGCCAGCTATTCCCTCACCAGCCAGTTAAGCTCTAGGCTAACGGCTTGATCGTTCTCCAGATGCCTGTCTCCTCTGTACGGCATATTACTGTGCACGGACGCACAACTCTGCTAGATCTAACAGTAAACATAACGTGTCGAACTGCTTCCATCACTGCGGTGCTAAGCTACGACCTTAAGAGTATGATTTTGCTGATATAGGATGGCAGAATCCGGACATGGGAAGATGGTAGGGATATCGTTGCTAAGTGGTTCCTTAAAGAATTTTATTGAGATGCATGGCTTGAAATGTTCTATTGCTCGGAAAAAGGAATCAGCTACGCTGCTACTAGCCTATTACTATTAAACGACATAGGGACATATTTGTTCAGGTGAATAGATTAGGGGAAATAGAAATATTCGTATTACGCCACCGTAGCGGCATTTCGATTAGTGGATTATGTAGTAAAGTATGGTTATGTATACACACGAAGCTTGTGACTCTGCAGGAATTGTGGCCTCTCTTCTCAAACAGGTACAACCACCTAAGATTGATACCGTAAGGCGTCTATTCCTGCTAGAGTTCTCAGATATTTAACATTTTTGGTGAACGTTCCGCGCGTCTAAATTCATAGACGCCTAAGATTGCGCGACGTCGCGCCTCGACAGGTCTGTCTGCAGCCATGCTTTTTTTTGGGTATTTGAGATGATATAGCCTAACGACTAGCTTATTGACTGCTAGAAATTAAGAAACTCAGTTATAAAGCTGGACATGCAACGTGCCAACATTATTATCCAAATTTAATAGTATATATTCACAGCAAATTAACTTGTAGGTCAGAATTAGGAGTTAACAATCAAGCTGTCAATTGACCCCTTTATGTTGATGGGCGTTACGCAGCAACAAATTCAAAAAAAAGCGCGTTATGGTCAAGAAACACCGGGCCGTTTCAAAAGCATATTTCAACACGAACTTCGACATTTTAACGATGGGCAATATTCTCTACCGTACGATGAGAATTAAAATCACCTGCATTCGAAAAAGGTAGTGTAATCATTGGTAAAAGGGAACTGTACAGTGCACTAAAATTAAAAAGTTAACCCGTTTTCACTGCATCATCACGGGGATATGTCTACGTCACATGCCTCGTTGCGCTCGGTCCCCAACGCCCTATCACATATTGTCGCTGAAATATCGAAAGTTACCATACACATCGGAACAACACAGGACAAGTATCGCTGGTTCTGATCTACCTGCTCTTTCGTTTTTCTGTCAATTTAGTGTAAAGTTTCCCTCAAATATGCTCGTCTATTTACTTGGTAAATTTCACTACTTTTCTGCACAGTTTATGATATTGGTACATCATTGGCTATGCTAGTGGTGCATGCTGAAGGTAAAAGAAACTCTTGATCTCTCTCTCTGCCATAAACAAGATGGTTCTATCGTGTTCGCTCCCGCGTCTGACCTCGCCACGACCAATAAACGCCAGAAGCTTTACTCGCAATCATCCAGCGCGCTGCACTCTTGTCCGCAGAACCTTTCGCTTTGATTTGGATAGTTTGTTTATCGTTCCAGAGGCCAATGCCGGCCGGCTGGCGGACGGAGCTTCCGGTAAGCGCGAAATTTCCGAAAATGTTCAGCGGATGCCAGCTCGGAATCGTGCAAGAGCCTATCTCAACGCGAAATGTATCAACTTTAGTGTTGTTGTTCCAACTTTTAGCCGGCGCTCCCAAATATTTGCAGGTTCTTCGTTGTCTACATTTCGTAGGAAACATCAATGTCCGCATGCACATAGGTGCCGTATCCCCAAGATGAAACGGAATAGTTACGACGCCGATTTAGTTGTCGCTGCTTAGTATCGCGGATTGTACCTGAGATATGAAAAAAGTACCCCTCTTACGCTCAAATAGATTCTGTTGTTGTTACCTCTTCTGCTATCATGGCTACAGCTGTCGTTGTTGTAGATTGTATGGGCTGTTTCTCTTGGCAACAATGGTCTTTTGCATGACTGTACTGCCTGCCTCTTTGCTCGCCGGCATACCACTCTTCTATATCGTATCCTCTACGGTATTTCGAACCCAGACAGGAGTTAGAATCAACTACCATTTCAGAATCAGTTAAAGCCCACTCGAGAACTGTAATTTTTGGCTCAAACAATGCTATCAACAAGGCCGAACTTTAGCTTGACCTTGGAGTTTGCCAAACGTAGCTTGAAGCGCCATTACGTATCGCCATTCAGGCATGAAGAACTGAGTAAAACGCTGCGCGCTGCCTACTGGAAACTATTTCTATATCGATCAACTTATCCTGACGACGACGACGGCGATAGTTAATGAGCGTATTTACAGTGTTCCTAGCGCAGCGAAATTGAAATTGGACCAGAAACGACACAGTCGATTGCACCGAAATAACGCTGGCCAAAACGACGTGGGACGAAGGCTTTGATTAGTGTTTGCTAACAACAGGATCGCATAGTCGTGCTATTCGTATTGATGGTAATGATGTTAGGTCGAGCATGCTACGAGGATGACGGCCATTAGTCAATCGTTACTTCCATTCCGAGGAGACAAAAGAAAATTGGCAAAAATCATAGACGTTCGCTCGACAGTGATGCCAGTCAGATTTTCGGCGACAGGGGGCAGTTGGGACGGATGGACGCTTTATAAAATGAAGCGTCCAACTAAACTTCGAAGAAATGCGAAATTAGCTCCGCTGAAAGTGGCCGTTATAGTAGGCGATCGCATAAACCGAACTGAGAATCGTCGCGCAAGGTCGGACTAAAGATGCTGGTGTTTGCTACACATCGCTGGATGGCACTTGCCGTTACTTTTCTTTTCATCGGATCCTGTCATGGAATTCTAAAGCGACTTTGCGGTGGGTACTCACTAATGTGCTGTGACCGAAGCCGAGTTAGCTTAATACCTTAAGCTTCTATCTATAGAAATAATGTTTATGAAAAACGTCGCCATGTCTATTGACACCTTCACTATGAATATGTTCCGGAAACATGCTATATATATGTATATATATATGAATACGAATTGTTTCGCAGTGGTAGATGCTCGGTCGTGATTGATGACATAGCTTGATTGCGTAATAGAAAAAAGTATGATTAAGATAATGACTTTATAAAACCAGCAAAACCAACATGGTTGGACAAGTATGGCCGTCTGTAATTTAGCAATTAGTCATTAGCAATAGAGGTTTGATTTGATAAACCTTCACGCCTTAGAGTGGTCAGCCTAACTCAGTCTTCCTTCCACGCAGCTATAGCGGTATAGATAGATTTTACGAACACATCGTAACCTATGGCTTTGTTTCGTCTTTGAGTATTTATAGATATCACGAGTGATCAGGCTCGCCAAATGGTGATTCGTTGCGCAAGGCAAAATCTAGCGGATGATATTAGAGTAGGTTTTCACGCAGAGAAGTATGCCTTTATGGGGCACTCGATTCCGTACAAAGTGTTTACACAAGAATTCTGAAACATTTGAGCTTTTTATTCTGGTGAATCACAGTCATAACTAGAGAAATGTAGTAAAGTAACTTCGAATACATAAGTGATATATAAAGCAATATTTAAAAAAGTCGAAAACTTAGAGTGAAAGACAGAACTATACGAGGTACGTATTTCGAAGGTGAGGAAGGAAGTGGTGGAGATACTGTTTTAAGTAAACTAATCCGAATTGCTTTGACTAAAAATAAAGACTGGACAGGATGTTAATAGGACAACAACGAGCGTACTCTACATTGCTGATAGTGCCATAAAAAAAAAAGCCTGTAATGCGTGGGCTGTAGCTATTCAGAAGAAAGCATACTTAACGGGTAGTAATATAGTAACACTGGCTAAATCGTACAAAAGCGATTGCCGAGGCAGCCACTAAATCGATAAAAAAGGAAACAAGCCAATAGGGATAACGAAAAGAAAAATAAGGAAGAAATTGATTGAACTTATACAAACAGAGTACAGAGATATTTTGATTTTAAAAATATGCTATAGAACTAGAAGTTTATATTTGTTTCCTTAGAAACGCTGTTTTCGAGGCGGAGTATATAAGTAAACAACAAGAAAGTAAAGCGTGTCGTTTCTATAGCGACTCAGAAGAACAGATCAATGAACATAACAGGGTATGCTGCCATCTTTTACGCAGTTGTATGGCGAATCTTGCCGGAGACCTGGGCTTTGCAAGCAATAAAAAGAGGGATGAGACTCATAAAACGGAATGGAAACCGAGCAAGCAAATTGGTGATGGAGCTAAAAACGAATGTTTGCGTTTACTGCCCTTTAAGTATAGAACACATAATAATTATATGATATGATATACATAACCATAATAACTGTTTACAAATCTCGTTCAATTTCTTTATTTGGAAAGCTGATCCGGTTAACCAGTGTAGATTTTTAAGTGCTCTCGCTTCAAAGTAAGCCGTCTTTTGTACAAGCTAAAGCTATCTTGGCGCTACGACTAATTTTACCTCTAGTCACATAATTAGGGCCAATTTTCATGTCGTTTCCTCTGAGCTTCAATGCTAGGCCAGTCTCATATAAGCGCGCAGTCCTACACATTGCACCGGTTCTGCAACCTTTTTTTTGGAAAAAATTCATAATAATGCTATTTTGTTCGTACGCTACTTAGAGGACCTTTGAGCTACGATTCCCTGAACTCGGCACAACGGAAATGGATCCCGTGAACCGCATCTGTGAGGAGTTTTCTAGGGACCCCAATTACAAGTTGACCTTCGCTAATGCTCAACGGGTGAGTTCAACGATATCGTAAACCTACTTCGAGCGCTATTTCGAAATCATGATCACTGCCAGCATGCCAAATAGAGTCTATCGCACCATACGACCATTGCATCATTCCATCACATACGCCGAGACGGTAGCAGTGTGACAAGATGCTAACTCATGTATTATACGTCTGTGTATGACCGACCGCGCAGCATCCATATGTAATGCCGCAAACTGACCGGCGTAAAATTTACACAACCGTGTCATCGATCCTTTAAAAACTGTGAATTACAGATTAGGTTGAAAATCATGAAATCATCTGAGAAAATCAATGATTCGATTGGCCGCCTTTCTTAATCTTCGATGTTATTTTCATAAACGATCCGTAATTCCATTTTTTTTCTAAAGCGTTTGATATTAAATTGGCACTACTTCCTATTCCTATAATTTGTAAAACGATTTCACTTGACAAAGCGGATGAACAAACTTATTCTGCTTCGGCTTTTTCTATTTTTTTTTCACGATTGGCTAGGACAGGGCCGATTCGGGACCACTGAAAAAACAACCTGACAAATCTCGTCTTTCATCCTGTGCCTTTTTGCTCGCTTGGGTGGATGATCATTGTAGCAGTGCTAAACCACGCACATGCCGTACAAGGGTATCGGGACGTTTATTTTCAAACGAAAACCAAACGGAGTTGACAATCAGGATTTCTGTTTAACAGAGTTTTTTATGCTTACGACAACAGTATCGTTTTGCTCGCGTCGATTATCTGGGGTTTCAAATCCTTTTATTGGTCCTAGCGACAAAGAAGTAACTCTTTCAACCTGTGGACCACGCTTAAAGCTCCTTACGGAATCGATTATATTCCTAATGAGCTGCTCCGCTCTCAGTCGCTCGCATTTCTATATATTTCAAACGAACTGTGTGTCTTACTACAGAACACGGTTAAGTCTGTAGGATTATTTAAGGAATCGTGCGTGCTACCTTAGGGCAATTCATTTGTGATGCTTTGATTTTTTGGCTGAGACTTTTCGATATAGCCATATAGTCCAGTCTGCTATGTCCTTTAAGGGAAACGTCGTCGTTTACTAAGCCAACAATACAGGTACGTTCACGTTAAAGAAATGTGCGCTGCGAAATTATAGCGCGCGTCCTTTCACGTTTTTATAATACATCATTTATTCTGTAAGAGACAATTATAGACTTGGTACAGTACTATGCAATTAAAAGAGACAGAGAGCAATTTTTGGCAGCAAGATTGGAGGTAACATCTAAGAAACACATATTTGAACACCGTAATGGACATCAATTGTGCTGATTTTGTAGGTGGTCAGCGTCATTTCATCACACGGGATGTTGTGTCAACACGTGTAGACGAGGTACTACTGCAATACATGACTCTGCAGCATTCTAACATTTAACGTATTGGGAACAACTGTTTTTTGCAATATTTTAAATTGACTAGGAACTACGTCGATCTCTAATAATAATAATAATAATAATAATTTATTTTGGTGTTGTGGATACTCTGATTCAGGTCCCCTAATATCGTAGATACCCAAGCGTCTCGTACACGTTCTCTATGTTTTTCAAAGTTTCGATAGTAGAAAATCTGCATAGTAACATATCTAAAGCAACGTAAAACGCTCGAAAACGAATTGTAACCCTACTAATAAATAAATCCATTGGAACATTTGCTTAGAATGAGTAGGGCAAACTTTCGACACAATATGTAGATGACCTTGCCTCGGTCTAATCGTTCATTCTAATAGCGCTATAATTGATAAAAGCTGATCTCGACAGAAATAGCTGGGGTAAAATATGCCCTACTGGGCGAATGTCTATGTATGCGTATTGCAGCTACGCTGGCCGGCCACTGAATTCCAGTCAGAGACCTCGAGCTTGTAGACAGAAGGCGGTTATTTTGAGCTCAATGGCAGTACCGTCTCAGTTCTCTTGCTTTCTTTTCATGAGTGGTTCTTGTTCTTCTCAGTTTCCAGCCGGTTACTCGGTCATTCTTCCATTGACCGTGAAGAGGGGCACCCAACATCGGAGTGGCACCTTTCGTATTTGATCTGTGTCGTTAGAGCTGCTGCTGTAGTATGTACAATGATCATTCATCTGTTAGCTAGTAGAAGCGAGATACGTGGCCTTGTTGTGGCAGCAATTTTTTGCTCGCTGCCCTAACTCTTTTTTATTTTCGTGTATAGTAGGATCGAAAAATAGCCGATGAGAGGGTCGTCGTAGAATCATAGCTTACTCATACTGTCAGCGCCAACAACAGAATTAAAGGTCGTAACAGTCGTAAAGTAACGTACCTCACTAGAAGTGACACGGAACTCTGGTCAATCTTCCCTAGAAGTCCAACTCTGCAGCACTCACCGTAATAGGGAGCACAGGCTTGCAGCCAGGGCACGTAAATAAGCGTCAAGGGTGACCGGCGAGTTCTCGTTTGTCGAATCGTTTTACTCACACACAAACAAGCAGACACTCACATACAAATGCACAACGGCCCACATACACACGGAATACTTTCCACTCCATATACAAGTCGACAAAGACAGCCAGCAAGGAAATGGTTTTCTTCAGATTCGGCCGTTCAAAGACCTTGAGAACGCCTCAAGTTAGAGTGACATGAGGTGGAACGTATTTCGTGTGTATGTCGGCCCTTGTGCGTTTGTATACGAATGCCTGCATGTTTGTGTGTGAGAATACGTCTGGGTTTGTCAAGGCACGCAGCAAGCAGACTCACTGAAAACGGTAGGAAAGGTAAAAGGCAGCGGACGGGCGAAAGGGGAGGCGGATGCGGTAAAGGCACTGCTGCTGGTAGTCGTAGTGGTCGGTGAGAATGAAACTTACAGCGAACGAAAGCGGAAACTGAAAAGGCGAAAAAAGAAGGAAGTACCGTTTGGTTGTTTGTCCTGGCTGGTGTTGCTTTGCGTTGACGTTGCCGTTATTGTTGGCGCTATCGCGTCTGCTTTTGCGTCGGACACTTTGCTATAGTAAGAATGTGCCTCGCTTTGAGCTGGAAAAAACGAGGCCTTTTCAGGCTCCATTTGAAAAAGAAAAAGACGATGAGAGAGAGGGTCTCTGGCCTAAGAACAACTACCAGCCAGCTTGTCTAGCGCATCTCGCGTCTAGCCTGCTTGACTACTTGTCAACGGCAAAAATATTTGAGACAGAATGCGGCAGAATGTATAGAGAACAATGCGGCCAGCTCACGATGCTGTTCCTACTGCTGTCGCTACGACTTTTGCGCCGCTGCGCTTTCTGTTGTTACTGCTTCAACGGTCTATCGCGATCGGCGCGTACCATACGTCGTTGTCACAACGAATAGGAAGTAAGTGAGTGGGAACGGTATCATCGGACGTGAAGAACCGACCATGGTTGCGTGACATGACTCCTTCACATAGCACCGTCCCGAGTAGTATCCAAAAAGAGAAAATGGCTTTCTATTCCCGCTTACTTTAGAGCCGGATCAAAACATCGTGTGCGCAGTATACGCATTATCGTCCCACGTTGTATCAGGGGGCACAGAACGAGCCAGGGACATAAAGCATATAATCCTGTAGATTAGTCAACGAGTGTATCGGCGTGCATAAAGTATAAAGGCGGTACACGAGTGAAGAAGTGTCAGGGAAGGATTTTGATCAGGGGCAAAAAGAGTTGGGAAAAAAAAGGCAAAAAGAAAACAGACAGAAACAGATGAAGTTTGCCACTATCATCGACATCAACGCGCCGAGATTGGCGATACCATCGCTCGACTATCTCGTGCCAGCAATATGGACAAGTGCAGATACTGAAGATTGTCAGACGTCAGAAGTTTCGAGACTGGATCTGTTATATATAAGCTAAAGCCTGCAGTAGAATTTTAAGTTGTGCGAAATTGTTCGGCTTTATTACAGGGTGCACAGAGTTATCCTTCCCCGTGCCAGCTATATATGCAAAGATAGTCATAGTTTTTTTTACTTCTGCGAATTTTCGTACATTTATAGCAAAGATGGCAGTAGTACAAGAGCCAGCAAGCGAACAGCCTGGAAGAACCTATTTGGTATACGGTCTCACGAGGAATAACAAAGAAAAATAAGGAAAAAAGTTTGATAGCCAGTTGCTGTGGGTCTTATTTATTATCATACTTACATTATTATAGGACAAGGCAAGAAATGTGGTTTGATAACTGTTATATATAAGGTGTCATATATTTGATCTGTTTTCATATTTTACCAACGCCATTGTAGGATGAAGACATCCGTAGCATAGAAAATACCATCTCGACATGTATAACGGAGGAAAGTGGCAGATTCAGCAGCTAATGTAATAACTCGATCGCCTTCTCCGCGGAGTGCTTTGGCAACAGACGAAACATTGAAGAATCTCTGCGTATTGAATAAATAAAACCGAAACGAAGTCATACATAAAAGCCACAAGTGATTAGAGAGCGCACGAACACATGAAAGGCACAAAAATCTCACGACAATAAACAGATATTCCAAAAAATGCAGGGTCCACAGGGTCCTTTTATTGTTTGAATAGCGCTTCGTCGACCTCTATAGCGTATTAGATCTGACTTTACAATGAAAACAACATAATAAAAAAAAATACTTCATTATGCTCATTTAAATACGTTGCTTTTTTGTGCTTAATAAGTGCGCTTTTGTTATTGTTGCGTTAATGTAGACGAATGTCATCCGTGGATTTCAATATCCATAAGTTGTGGTTTAAACCTCGGCTAGCGCAGTGTATCATTGCCATTTGGGTCTATGGTTGACTTATTTAAATGTCGTTAACAAATCGATAAAAGACTATCATTAGGAAAAACAGAACACTCATGTGCCTGTGTATTTGTGCGTACGCAATTTGCGTGCCCATTTCATATAGATGGCTTAGATTGATTCGAGTTTGCTTGTATCAGGTTTATAGAAAATATCTAGATACGTAATGAAGCTGCAAACAGATAGAACGTTTACTATACGTGACCTGTGACCTGTGACCTGAATCGATGTGAGCAGTAAATACCAGCTCAATTGGATCGTTCGATTGAAAAATGGCCGTTGTTAGAATAGAATACTAAAAAATATATTTTGGCAAGGTCTACTTGCGTCCGTTTCTTAAGGCACGCAATTTCTGCCACATAAGAAAGCGCCTTTTGTCGCCTGCCAAGCTTACTTTAGGTCATTTAATTATTTAAGGGTGACGAACTCACAGTTGAAAATCATAAATCAGCCCTTGATTTTTTCACAACGCCTAGAACATAGCATTTTAACGCCCCTGATAACGGGGATATATACTCAGGCTTGGATCTTTTTGGTTTTTTTTCTAGATGTGTATCATTTCCACCTAGACAACCATTGAATTCATTGAGAGTTCTATTGTAGACAATTAGCAGCCACACCCAAAACAAACAAAATAACATACATCAATGAAATTCTAAATTTCAGCTTACAGCTTTGACCAGCTTGATGATCACTTCATACCCTGCTCTGCGTATATTCAATATTGTTCTCCATCGTGCCATAAGTGTTATTACCGATTGTAGGGTGCAGGCGTTGATATGTTTCAGCCCCTACAAGAAAAAATGTGTGATAGTCGCAATTCTATCATCGGCGCAGTCTTTCGATACTTTCATGTGATAGCATATGCGACCATTGTAATACTGTTGGCTCAGAAACGCATTCGTACTACCTGCTCAGTGCTAAAGCATAGTATGGATTGGCCATGCCGGGTTCTATTCGGTATCTCGTTGCTTTCGTCGTTTTGGTGCCTCTTTCGAGAATTCGATCCTTCGCCCATCTTTCTGAAGCCTCGGTCGAGGATATCGCGCTACGAATGCGATCCGTTGCCAACAGGGGCAAGTTGGCAATACATATATTCTCAGCACCCCGGTGTGACCATATCTACACTGCTGTACAGCAGGCTACATTTCTGTCATACTTATCGTTAGCATTAGTTTTTCTACTGCCATCGTTGCTGCTTCAGCAGAAAGGCTGTCCTGACGTTCCAAAGAAATGCGTCCTAAGCGTCTCTCATTGAGAGATCGGTCGAAGGAGCTGGGCACGGATAAACTACGCAAAAGGAATTGTAGCAGGCTGCAGGCCACTCAGTGTACTGCTGTCAGTAATCGACTTGCTCGTAAGCCTGCACCGAAGGTCTAGCGAGGCACAAACAAGCTATTCAAAGTGTTAGAGGAATAGTGAGGAAAGTCCAAAAGAGGTTCATAGATGGTGAATGCTACTTATACGAAGACTTGGCTATGGAGCGTAGGAAATGCGGTGTAGTATCGAAATGGCAGAGGATTCTAAGAAAAGAGCAGAAAGGAGGCAAACGGATGTCCTTTAGTGGGATATTCTACATCGATGACAGCAATAAGGTAAGATCATCGTCGCACGCGATGCTTGCCTAATTCACAGCTACTGCTTTGCTTTTTGCCAGCAGGAACTCTAGCATCTCTAATATGCGGTCGATAATGGTAACAGAAGATGTTGAAAAAGGGCATCGATAAGCGGAAGAAAAGAGACGAAGACAAACAAACAAGCCGAGAGAGCAAGAATTTATACGCAAGGCTATAGAAGAGGATTCGACAAAAAGCTAAGGCTATCGAGAAAAAGAAATAGTAGGCGATAACTAATAGTCTCGTCTAGTTCTTGCTTCTTATCTGTTAGATTTGGCCTTTGCAATACTAATAACTAAATATATTGGATATACCCATTTTGCTATGAGCAACACTAACCCTGCGAAGAAGAATCACCGGGACTCATTTTCAACCCAGACTTAGGCCCAACTCCTAATCTCACCCTTTTCATATCTTCGCCTCTTCTTTTTCGTGGTTTTCCTTTCGTTTTTCTCCTTTTCCTTTCCGCATCTTTCTCGTATGAGATTCCATGCGCGAGTCCGCCTCCCGGTTCCTTGTGGGTCTCTACGTAACCACGACCCGTGTTGCTCATCAACGATCACTGACCAGCGCATTAGATTACGTTTCGTCTTCAAAGGCTGCCTCCGACTTATCGTTTTGTCTTGTACCCTGTCTTTACCTCTGCCTTTTCCCTATTTCGAGTGCGGAGGTGAGTGCACAGCGAGGAGGAATAGGGACAGGAGCCAACAAGATACGAGAATAGGATAAATTAGGCGCGATAACGATCAGATCAATCGGAGCGCGAGAGGCCAATCGTTCTTTCTTTCACCTTTCGGTGTTGTGGTGGATGCGTATCTTCTGCGCAGTATCCTGTGTAACAATTGTTGTGGTAATAATGTAGTCCATTATAGGAAACGAACGATAGCAGGAAGAGAACAGATAAAAAGAAGATAACAAAAGAGAAAAAAGCACAACGCGTGATAACAAATATTGGAATAATGAACTGTTCAATTGAAATAAAAACAAATTATATACTAAACGATGGAAAAATTAATTCGACAAAAAATTACAGATATAGCAAAAACTTGCCGGTGATGATGCCGGGAAGCTAAGGAATCAAGAAGGTACTATTTTTTTGCAGAAAGTAGGGAGTAGTGAGCTGTAGAAGTGCATAATGAGTAATGTACAGTCGTACCAAGCGAGTAAATAAACTTATATAATGCTGAATATTTCTACAAAAAATCTTTAGTCACAAAAATTACCTGTTAGCTGTGTAATGACACTAACTGTTGCCCTATATCTGAACGACTCTGATCTGTTCGGCTTTATGACGTCTTCATAAAAACTGGGAAGTCAGGCCTACAAAGAGGTTTGCAGGATCCTTCGAAGCGACTACACCGCCACCCTTTGTATCGCTCTCTAGATCCGACTATATATGTACCATGACTACCACAGCGTAGGTAAACGTAAAAAGTGATGTTGGTATTTTTGTCACCTTTCTGGCCGGCTGGTGAGCATAAGTAACTCTAAATCGGCAGCTTAAAGGCAGTACTGGTTGCCTCCGGTTTTAGCTTTGCATCCTGTTGCTCTAGACTTGTTCTTAACATCTGATGTAGCGGATACACTATCACCGTACATCCGCAGGTCCACCGACTAGCTACGTGACGCACATCCATACGATACCCTTGTTTTCTGCCATCTTTTTTGTCCGCGTGGAGGTGAATCGGTAAGCCGCGTCTTTTCAAATTCTTTTTTGCGACAAATTCCATCTAAGAAGGGACGCAGAGAAAAGTCTGAAAAGAGCTGACCTTGCCTGAAGCCTTTAATTAGGTACAATTACAGAATATTTCGCCATATTCATTTCATCATGCGACGTAGCCCTTGAAGAAGCTTTCGATCTTTAAAGTTGTCAAGAGGAACGTCAGAGACGAGACAAGATGATCCCAGCTACACACAATATTATGTAGTTAATCTTTAATACCGCAAAGTTTGTTAATCAACAGTTGATTTTAGTTGGTAACGATGAATGTCGTTTGGTCGTTGAGGTCGCCTGCAGAAAAAAATTAACTCACTTAGAATTATAGCAACAGTGGCCCAAAAATTATCCTTACTAAGCAATCATTCGGTCTATAGAATTTGAGACCTCAAAGTTCCGTCTATAGTTGTTTTATAGCTAGGCTTTCCTTGTCAGGAAAGAGTACAGCTTTAAGGAAAAAGCTTGGTTCATTTTAACTGGAAATCAAAGACAAAAAAATTAAGCACAAAGTAACCCTTATATTAAACTAAGAAGCTAAAGTTGTAACATTTATGGAGCACGGCGTTCATAAAAGATATA